CTGGAAAGGATTTTCTAACACTGTTGTTGCTACTGTTGTGATCCTAATTCCATTTTTTGTTAGCTTTCCCATATCCATATCCTTATTCTTCTGTCTCCACTTCCTTGTCTTCCAGTGCTTTCCTGAAGGAAAACATTAATTCTGCTACATTTTTAATGATCTGAGCCTTTCTTAAGTGGTTGATCAATGAAACTTTCAGCATCTTAACTTTCATATAGCAACCTAAACTGATGACAGAGAAATTCTGATTATGATATTGTTGTTCCAGTGTTCCATGTAACAATCAGAGGAAATAAGTGGTGCCCCAGTTAAGCTGAAATTCCTATTACAGACAATATGGATGGGAGGTAGCTTGACACTTTGTATTGCAGCAGCTTTCTTGCTGTCTAGTGTATGTAGGTCACTAAGGCAGGAAGCAAACCTGGAGCAGCAGGAACAGCAAGGACTGTGCAAGTGGTTGGTCTCCATTTCAGATCAAGTATGACCACCAGATTAATCAGGGATGTTCTCCCCTCTTCTGGGAGTGGAGTCTGAAGCTGCACGCCTACCTGACACAGCACTGCTTTTGCAGCATCATTCTCTGTGCTTCTCTGCTAGTGTCTGCTTAGGCTTGGCCTTCAGCCCCATCCATTATTCTTACAGGTCGTCCCACCCTCTTTATGGCTTTCACTGTATCTCTGACTAGCTCTTTTTGCTTTTTCAGGCAACCTGAAACTTCTCTGAGGGCTGAGTTCCCAAATAAAACTCAGTAACGTATCTAGTGAGCTAGAGCAGCGAGCAGATGGCACGACCTGTCTGCTCTTCCTAAATAACCTGTCACACAAGCCTGCAATAAACTCTCTTTCGGTTGTTATTGCAGAGAACACTACATGTCTGCAGCACAAGTGCTTTAAGGGAGAAGTCACCTGTACACAAGTGTGATAGGACACTGGTCAGAACACTGAAGTTGTGACTTCAGGCAGTACTGCTCCCTATCTGGTACGTAAGTCTTTTCTCCACATATCAAGATGTTGATTGCTGCCTCTTTTTCCCTTCTGCACTTAGGCTTTAACTTCCCTTCTTCTTATTCCAGTTGTAGTATTTTCCTCCTAAAGTAACACATTTTCATTCTTCTTCCTTATGGCCTCTGGCTCTAATATCGCTTACACCGTCTGGTGCAAATTAGGTGCATGTGCAATCATCTTTTCTGCCTTTTTCCATCTTTTTACATCCATTCTGAGCTCTTCATCCTTCACAAAACTTCTTAATATCCCCATAAAACTCCACCCACGCTGTCTCTTGAAGCCCCCTCTCCTCCTTGAGTTATGCACTCCCCTATGAAATCTTTGTCATGCTTCTGTTTTTATCTCCTAAAGATAATTAATGACTTTCCTATTCCTGTTCACTGCTGCTCCTGTCCCACCTCAATAAGACTATTCTGAAACTCACCCACCAAAATTACTTCTTCTCCACTGGTCCTTCTGGCTGAAATGACCTTCCTCAACCTAGCCTCCTTATCTATTCTGAGAACCTGCACATTCCTTGCTAGAATCCATTTACATCTAGGATAATTTTACTTTCTTTTTTTAATCTTTGTAATTTGCTACTTGCCATATGGAATGAATTCCTGACTAAAAAATTGCTTTCTCAGAGTTTTTGCTTCATTGGTATTTTACCTCTTTCTTTCAAGTACTTCATAGAAATGATCTACAATCACCATCTCTGAAAAACCAAGCACATGTAACTGTCCCATGCTGCAGTCTCTCCTAACAGGAATGCATCCATTATCTCACCTGCCCTTGATGCCTAGATAATGATATGACTGCTTAGCTACTGCCTGCCTTTAATTCAACTGAGCTGGAAGTTCTAGTGCAGCCTGAGCAACCTGCGTCTTGCTAAGTCCCATGTTTCTGGCCCCACTTTTCATTTGCCCTTAGCACCTCCATTCACTTCATACCTCATAGTGCTACTGCCTCTCTGTCCTGTGTCAGATGAACTTTGCTAGCTGTTTGGTGATCCCCTGACCCACTTGACCTGCCACATAATGGGGCGGAGAGAAAATAAGGAAGCGTATGGGAGAATTTGCTGTCTCATCAGAAGCAGCAGCCCAGTGCAGCTCAACTTCACCTCTCATGTGGTCCAGTGTGGTCTGAAGCTTGGGGGTAACTTGTGCTCATTCATTGCCTGACCTCGTGCATATCCTTGTCCCACAGTTGGAGGTACCAGTCTTAGCTGTGGCAGTTGTGAGAGGTCATCACCGAGATACAAGAGCAAGCAAAGAGAGCAGGATCTGTTCATAAGGGTCTGTGAGTGAAGTTTTGATGAAAGATTCAGTCTGTGTTGAAACAAAACACTGTTACTTTTTTTTTTCTCCATGGGCAACTAATGAGAGCACACAACCCATAATTTCTACTTTGTCAAGAATTTCAGACATCTAGGGAGGTTTAGTGTAAATATTACAATAACATGGGAAGGATTAATTGAGCATGCACACCATTTTGTGCACACCATCATAGGTCATGATTAAATGCTCTTTACTGTGTAGTCACATTTTATTACAACTTACATATGTTTGAAACACTGATAGAAAAGAAAGCATGTCATCTATTTACAATCACTACACATTTACATTATATTATTTACAGATAATGAATTTAGTAATATATATGAGCAGAAAATATAGCAAATATCAATATGAAACTGTACAGGGCTTAATCTCATGTCCTTTACTGTTGTTGCATTTCACTGTAATAATAAATACAGTTCTATATTTACACATTTTACTTTAAAAATCTATTAAATGAATTTTAACAATTTCAAGTTTAAAACATCTGATCAAAATATTTCAAACACGCTTATAAAAATAAGACACAAAGCCTTTATGACTTTCTGCAAGCTAAAAAAGTTCTGATAAAAGAAGCTTTCTTTATCTAGTCTTTAGAATTATAACATTATTTTGCTTCTCAAATCTCTTTACAAACTTCTTAAATACAGCAAGCTGAAAGGAACTTCATTGACATTAAGCAGTGCAGCACAGATGGACCCCAGTTAAATTAAAGCTAAGTAAACATGGTAATACGTATTGTGCAATGGTTGACTGATTCTCTGTTTAATCCAAAGGGGTTTCAGGCATCGTTCTGCAGCTGTATGCTGCACTGCTTCAAAAGCCACAAAAGATAAAGGATTAAGATAAGTACTCAGCTGACTTTATCATATATAATTTTGAAATTGATTCATTTTTTTTCCTGAAGGATGAACACGTCAGCCAAAGTCAACTGACGCCATCTGTAACTGCAGAACTGAAAACATGCCAGTGTGAATGGACATGAAAATCAAGGCATACCCATTGCTGGCAACAAATTCTTCATTGTGAAAATCCATCCTTTAAGTCCCAGGAAGTTTTATACACAGAAACAGATGAACAACAGAGATCATAAGTAACTGATTACCTTAATTACTGGGCCTCGCCTAACCTTGGTAATGTTAAAAAATTAGTCCCATTCACCTGGAGGTTGAGTGGCCATTAACTGAGCAATGAGTACTGGGCTATTAAATGTTACTCCTCAGGGAGCTATTTTTAACAAAAAATCTTCCTGTGCATTTTCCTGTCTTAAATGATCAGCTCATTTAAGCAAAAGGTGCCAGCTCCAAAAAAAGAATACTGGAATATCCCCCGATGGCTTGGCCAAGGTCAAAGAATTATATTCTAGGTGACTCTGTTGTCTGAGATATTTCAACAGTAGACGTGGCAAGGACGTGACATCTCTTCTCTTTAACTGGGATGCTTCTGATGTGTAAACATACATGCCCTGGTTCAGCAAAGTAATAATAAAGCCAGAGAAGAACTGTTACTCTAATCTAGCCTTTTCCTAAACTAAAACCATCAGAAGTCCCTGAATTTCAACAGCTGCTCCAATTATCTTTTTTGGCAATAAATCCAATTTGAATTTAGAGACTTTTGGTGATGGATAGTTTCACTAGCTAATGACCATCTGTGTCAACAATTTGCACCTTTATTTCTATACTCCATACTCCTAATGCCAATTTCCAGTTTATCTTATCAGATTCTCCTCCTCTCAAATGAGTAGTCCTCTGCCTTCAAACTTGTTTCCCAGAAGCAGCTACTTATAAACTGTGCTCAAATCACTTATTTCTTAAGTTGCTTTAAGTTTATGATATTCATATCCTTTTCAATTTCACAATGTTCTTTACAGCACGTAAATGAAATAACTGAAATATCCCAGGAGTGCTTGCATCAGCACTAAGAACATAGATCACACCAACCTCTTCACTCCTACTTGATACCGCCTTAGCTCAGGATATTGGCTATCCTTAGTCAAAAGGTCACAGTGGCCTCTAAATCTTCAACTAACCAATGACCATGAACCAGCAGCTTTCTAGAATCACTGTTTCACAGGACAGAGATCACGCCGTGAGCAGGTCTATAGTTTTTGTTCCTGGACAAATTACCTTAAATGAACTCACTATGTGAGTGCCTTTGGTGTCCTTTAATAGCTCTCAGCATACCAATTTTTTTATATTGATGACTTTATATGTAGTATTTTCCACCCTCAAATTGTATGAGTCATCTGCCAATGTTATCATCAGTAATTCTGGGAGCAATTCTACCAGCACGGTAGCAATTCAAGATGAAACTGTAGAGAACCTCATTAGAAAAATATCCATGTGACAATGCCTTGCCATTTAAAATCACATTTTAAATGCTTAATAGGATTTTGATTAACTTCTTTCACATCGTGTTAATTTTTGTACCTTTAGCTGACAATTAAAAATGTTTTGTCAAGTTGGATGACTTCCAAAATCCAAACCCCATGCCAGTTAAACCATTTAATCAGCTTTATCAAACACGGAACTTCACCAAAGTGTATTCTGCAGAAACCTTTAGGACTTGAACAGACTGCTCTTCCATTTAGGTATCTTGCTGAATGAAGGCCATAAACAGATGCTTATAAACATAATCATGGCACTGAAAAACTATTATTAAAAACAAATTGCAATAAACAGGAAAAAAAAATAACACAACCCCTGAGAATATCAGGTGATGCTTTGAAAAAAGAAGGTTATAAGTTTAACATGCTATTTTTGCTCTTGATCAACTGATGCCCTTTCTGACTAGTGCTACTTTAAAAGAGAGCAGCTGATACAACTGCACAAACTTCAGCAGCTTTCAGTTTCTTTTTTCATCCCAGCATTTCGGAAGCAGGCTGAGAAGGTTCAAGTATTGGATTTTCAGCCTGCCACAAGTGTTGTCACTGTTTTCTGATGTGCGTAACTGTAATTCAGAAGCACTCTCTAAGACCGTATGCACACATCCACACTTACTTTCGGGATTAAAAATTTTGTAAACAGAGATATTTTCTGTACTGCCACTGAAACTAGCGACAGGGAACAAATGCGACTGATGAAAGATTGCAGCCTTCTGTCATTTGATAGGATGATGGCATTAATGAATTGCTGGTGGGCATATCATACGATATGCTGGCACTTGTGAAGGTCACCAATGCTTGTGTTGAGTCACAAGATTGTTTTTCTATGTCTTCTGAATTCACAGAGATCAGACTAGCGTGTTTTGATCTCCGCCATAACAAAGTTTGCTTTCGCAGACTTCCAAAATCCTCCTTAAAGTGTGGATTGAAAAGTATATAAAGCAGTGGGTTTAGACATGCTGGCAGTGGGACAATCACTAGGAGTATTGACTTAATCACTTCTGGGCTGATAAAGGTGAGGTTTAGTAAGGAGGAAAAAGATAAAAAGGCCACAGGGCAATAAAGAATGCAATTAGTAAAAAGTAGCAAGGCTATATGTTTGACCATAGAGCAATCCCAAATGTTGTCTAGTTCTCCCTTTTCTAAACTACAGTAGAGCTTTGTATAAGCAATAGTCATTACCAGAAAACAAAGGGAGTTCAGTAATACCAGTGCTACCATGTAGCCCATAGCAGTGGATTCTCCAAACGGTAGTGGTAAACAAAGCGGAGAAATCCCATACTCACTTCCAGTGAGGAGTGGTATCCCTGCAATGATCAGTGCCAACATAAAGCAAAAGCAAATGGCAATTTTTGCACTAGCAATGAAGGATTTTGTTTCAAACTTTGTAGCATGCTTTAAAGAGAATGCACGTTCAAGTGCAGCTAGGGTAAGGAGCAAAATGGAAGCCTCCGAAGCAAAAATGGAGAGAAGACCAGTTATTTGGCAACCAATTCCACTTTCCCACTGTGCTCCATACTGAGCAAAGCTACCAAAAGTTGATGCATCCACGCTAGCCAGTACTCCACTGGCCAGACCCATCAAGGCATTTACAACAGCTATTAAACCGATCAAAAGTTTTATGGAGGACATATCCAATGGAGATCCGAAAACCGTAGCAGACACCAGTGCATTGCAAATTAAAGTCAAACCCACTATGGTCCACACTCCAATTCTAATTAGCCAGCTACCAAACAGATGGTCACAGGGTTTAAAGGGACCTGAAATGACAAAATAAAAAGGGTAAGGAAAACCCACATAAACTAAAAATTTCTATGCTTTCTAAGACATTGAAGTTCACGCTTCTTGCAGATTCTCAGCATAGCCGAGCAGCAAATTTTAATTCCAAGAGGGGAGCTGGAAATTTGCTCTTCCTTTGGAGTAAACTGAGACCTTGATAACATGCTGCTAAATGTGCACTGCATGTTGCATTACTGGTGCACGAGTCTTTGTCCTTCAACATGAATATCTATAGGTTTCTTTTTGTGCCTAGCAGTACAAATGCAATGTGAATGTCAACTTTCGTGGTTTCAAGAAATGCTGTGATATTTGCCAGTGTGTGGAAAAAGCTGAAAACATTCTCTCTCACTAAATTAGGCCAGGTTGCTAATGAGTCCTAGTGAAGCGCAATGTAATGGATATGGACTAATGCACGCTGACTACCTTATAACATGTCATTACACAATCCAAGAAAATCGAGGCTCTCTTTGCATTTGGAAGTGCTGCCTTTTTGGATATCCTGTGGCTAAAGTCAGGTCATTATGACTGAAGCCTCTGTATATTCTCATAGAATTGAGGTGCATATGCTCTGCAGTCTGAGAAACATTACTTATCTCAGTACAAGTGACCAAAGCAAGTCCTTCACAGTGGTCTGTGCTTTTCCATGAAGACTTAAAATGCCGCAGCTGAATTGTGCTCCATATGACTATGGCTGTTGCCATCAAGCATAAGGATCTATTGTGTCAGTTTTTCTAAGATACTGTTTGAAAGATCAAAGCTAAACTTTTGGGTCTGGTGATAACTTGCCTTGAAGACAGCAATGTTTTCATGAACTGAGGAGTTATATTTAGGCCATCAGAGAATATGTGCCAGTCAAATGTCTCCATCCTTTGGCTTCCTACTTTTTCTATTCCTCTTTATGTAACTTCAAAAAATTTACTATTATTTGCTGTTGCAAATAAGAATCTTGGCTTGAAATTAATGCTGAAGTACAAGCTGTCACTTGTTTTTGTTTTTTTGTTCATGTTTCACAATCAAAGAATGACTAGGGAAAACATTTGCTGAATCAAGCAAGCAAAACTTATGACCATGTCTGCTACAGCTAGAAGTGACCTTCCAATCGCATGTTTCTTTCCTTTCCTTAAATGAAACTTCCAGTAGAATCGGTGGCTGGTAGCTTTGCTATTCCATTGGTATACTTCTTTTTCCTTTCTGTCACACTTTGAATCCAGGGATGCACTATTTTATAAAGAAAATGACAGTGCTGGGTGTCCTTCCTAAGGGATTGTGTACATCGATGCAGTAGTGTTTAGTATTTCCTAGACACTGAACTAAACTGTATGTTGTTCAAGTTGCTCACGTGTAAAATAAGTCAATGAAGTTCAGAAGAATTACTTTAGCTTTGCAAAAGGCTGAGTGAGCAAAGATTCTGTTGCCTTTCTCATCTGTTTCTTAGTAGAAGAGTCCTTTCCCATTCCCTTGATATGGGGATCAATTCTGGTGAAAAGGGGCCCAGAGTAAGTATCTGTTTGATGTCTGGGTAAAGCTTTTGTTACACTCATAGATGAATTTAGTAGCTGAATAGTTTTCTGGAGTTCAATGAAAAATTTTATATTATTGTGCAATGTATTCTATTAAACTCATCAAATTACTGCACAATGTCATGTTGTTGTCCTAGTATCAGATTCTGAATTTGTTCTGCATTTAGAATATCTGGTAACACTGTCCTTGGATTCCTATCTGTCTGACAGTTTCATACCTGGAGAAGGTGAGCATTGCACTGAATGATGAGATTTCAAATCTTCTTCAAAGTCAAGAAAAAAATCCTCAAAATCACGTTCATCTATGGGGGAGAAAAGACCCAGATTTGTAACTGCAATTTTCAGGAAAACTTCTTTTAGTAAAAGTTGCAAAAATTCCCATGGCATTTAAGGCCTGGTCTTGTCCCTTTGCCTGCCAAACTGTGAGCAGAAGCAGACGTATGCCTACTTGGTTTTGAATTACTGCACTTGGGATTATTTAAAAAGTAGACATCGTTACCTCTCTGAAAATAATCACTAAAAGATACATTCTCTTTTACCTACTTTGCAGTGTGATGACTGCCTAGGAATATTGCTATTGTGTCAGGCTACTAAGAATCAATCGAGTTTTTTGTGCTTCCTATGTCATCACTCTAGCACATATTCTTGTCTCTAATGTCTCTATTCTTGCTAAACTCTGAGACTTACTGGTTTGCAGGGGCAGAGACAGCACAGAAAGCAAATCTGTGCACCTACGTAACAGATAACCTGTCAAGTAACACACCTTGTGCTAGAGGGGAAAAGAAGTATAGTAGTCTTGTTTCTTGGAGAGCAGCTACACTCTCTGGCAACCCTGAATGTATGTACAGACTGCGGAATGAGAGGCTGGAAACCAGTGCTGCGGAAAGGGCCCTGGGGGTCCTGGTCGATGGCAAGTTGAATACGAGTCAGCAGTGCCCTGGCAGCCAGGAGGGCCAACTGTGTCCTGGGGGGCATCAGGCAAAGCATCGTCAGGCGGTCGAGGGAGGGGATTGTCCCGCTCTGCTCCGCACTGGGGTGGCCTCACCTTGAATATTGTGTGCAGTTTTGGGAGCCACAACAGAAGAAAGATATTAAGCTGCTAGAGAGTGTCCAAAGGAGGGCAATGAGGATGGGTGAAGTGTCTGAAGAGGAAGCCGTACGAAGAGTGGCTGAGGACATTTGGTCTGTTCAGCCTGGAGAAGAGGAGACTGAGGGGAGAACTCACTGTGGTCTTCAACATACTCCTGAGGGGAGGCAGAGGGGCAAGAACTGATCTCTTCACTCTCATGACCAGTGACAGGACTCGAGGAAATGACATGAAGCTGAGTTCAGGAGAGGTTTAGGTAAGATATCAGGAAAAGGTTTTTCACCAAAAAGGTGGCTGGACACTGGAAACAGGCTCCCCAGGGAACTGGTCACAGCACCAAGCCTGTCTGAGTTCAAGAAGCATTTGGACAATGCTCTCAGGCATATGGTGTGATTTTCGGGGTGTCCTGTGCAGGGCCAGGAGTCGGACTTGATGATCATAATGTGTCCTTTCCAACTCAGCATATTCTATGATTCTAGGGAAAAGCATGCCAAAGTAGCCACTTAAGCTGTAAATCACCCTGAAGCATGTGGGTAAGCCAAGTATGTGTTGCTACTTCTGAGGCTGACAAGAAACTAGATCTTTGCCAGCCTGTTCCTGTATGGAGTTACATACCAGCTGCACTTCCTGTCTCTAATATAAAGGGAAGATTTCATTTCCCACATTAATATAGCTACTGTTTGGAAAAAAAGGTGAGGGAGTGAGATTTTTGAATGGCAGACCTAAAACAATGACTTTGTTAAGCATAGAAATGCTTAATATAACACATTATTGGGCGAGAGAGGGTGAGCCTCTGTGACTGTAAAGAGTATTGGATTTGTTTAACATCACAGGTTGCTCACAGCCTGTGGGTAGATTTAAAAGCCTAAGATGGTTACCTTGAATTTGTAACAGCCCAGCATCCTTCCTGTGAAAATCATCAATGCTGCTATTCTCATCTTTGTTCCATTGGCTGGAGATTTTGTAGTGGCTCTCACAAGCTCCAAAGGCACAGCACTGATAAGCATAAGGCATTTCCATGACCCTGCAGAAGAATAAGGAAGCATGCCATGATACTGCTTTAACACCAGAATTATTGGATTGTACTGCTCCTTTACTGTCAGCACAAAGGAAATTGTTTAAATATCCATGACTGAAAGTAAAAACATCTGAGTAAAAATCAGTCATGATAATAGAAAATAACGACTTGCAAATCAAATTCCACTTCAGAAATGCAGATGATTTCTATGCTAATTTCAGTAAAGCAACAATGAAGTTTTTTTTATGTGTTTTCATAGGAGACATTAAAGTGGGAGATCTATGCCTTGTCACTGAGCGAATATTACTTAGAGTTATATTTCTGTTTTATGATTTTTAATGATTTTACTGTGTAACTTAATAGTTTCTCCAACAGTTACTTTCTTAATGGTTTCTTTTTAAAAAAGCAGATGCAAAGATCCCAACTGATCTACCAGCCTAACAGGTAAAACCGAAAAACTTCCAAAATGGAATTTCTCCAATTTTGGGAGAAAGTTCTTTTGGAATTCAAGCTTTATTCATCTCTTTCTATATCCAACCCTTTTCACAGTAAGATGGCAAAAAGGAGATTGTCTCTTGTGCACAGATCAAGAGAGCAGCGTTCCAAACCAAAAGGTGAGTGAATCAGAATTTTGCACTGTGTGTGAAAATATATGTCACTGAGAAAAAAGGTTTTACTTTATTAATTGTCTTAGGAGTGAGCACAGTCCTTGCAGGACACTGGATGCTCATTTATAACTCTTAAGATCGTTAGTATCCTTAACACATAACTGAATATATGTCAGTGAGTTCCAATGATTATGAGGGTTTCTTTTGTCAGAAAATTGCACATTTCTGGTATGCTGTGAATTTAATTCCTTTGGGGATGTGCAAATTCTGGGGTAGCACAGGAGAATTACACATATCTGAGTTCTATAGACTACTTCTTCAATTCTGTAGATATATTTTATGCTTTGGAAGCAGAGCTATTTAATTTGCACAGCTTGCCAATAGCACATAGTAAAACCTAGCAACTCACCTTAATTTTGAAAGCCCAATAAACCAAAAAATTCAAAGATAAATAGGTGATTAGAAGTTATTCTGACTTGATTTAAAAGGAATAAAGTAGAATTAGATCCTCCTATCAGATTACTTTCAAGAGGTTAATGGTGTAAATTAACATAATGAGCGTAATAAGCAACCTCTAACCCCTGGGAAATCTGCAAAGAAATCAGGCTGAATCAGGCCCAGTGCCAACAGGACTTAAACTTGTGCACTAGCCAAAAGCAGGTACAAAGGAGAATAAACAGAACCTTGAGCTCCAAAGTGATTTTTAAAGTAGTGCATTTTGGGGCATTTAGATTCTAATATACTGACACTTCTGATGAGAATTAACCACAATAATCTGTACCCTTGTACCCAAGACAAAATTTTTAGGGTACTCAATAAAAGTTCAAGATAACCAAGATCTAACTATCAAGCAACCTCATGCCAGCAGATTTAAATACTTCATTTTAACTCATTCTCGTCCACATGCCATCTTTTAAAATAAGGAGATTATCTTGATTAAACATTTTTGAACACTTTTCCCAGAAGCCCTTCTTAAATAACCTATTATTATACCCAGAGATTACTAGACTAACCCATAGCTAATCATCTGGGATAAAAACAATCCCAATCCCCAACAAGAAATGCCCCTTTTTGGAACAAAAAAAAAATTATCAAAAGAAACACTGACAGTTCTGTGAAGTGATGTCTGCAACTTGTGGCTTCAGACCTTTTGGAAGACAGATGTAGTTACAGGAATGAACAGTTAGTGGATATTTTTGGCTCAAAGGACTAACAGAAAAGTATTCTCTGGTTATTCAAGCAGCTCTATGTACTTAATAATTACAGATTTCCAGATGCTGTTGTGCTTCTACTAGCCTGCTGGCCTGTCATACACTGGAAATGCAGACCTCTCACGTTGTACTGGTCGACTACTTTGATGATGCAGCCAAAAACATCCATGGCTTTTAAATTATCTTTATAGAGCAAGACTCCCACTTTTATTCTCTCTGTAGGTATTTCTAGCATACTTTCTTAAACTGAACAGTTTTTGTTTGTTTGTTTTTCTCCCTCTCTGTTATTAAGATATACATATAATCCTCAAATTAGCAAATGCTGCTGAATCTACGTGCAAAGTACAATTGCACACAATGGCTGCAACCCAGAACACAGAGGACAAAACATACATTGCAATGCAGGGAAACAGGTATCAGTTCTTTCTTGCAAAAGGTACATTAAAAAAAAGACAAAAAAGGAAGGAACTCTCAGAACTCTCAGAGGTGTACAGTGCTGGAAGCAGTCCAGATAAGCTAGCGCTTATTTGATGTGGGTAATTAGATTTGGACTTTGTCAAATTAAACTCTTTTAGAAACACTGGCTGAATTTATTTTTATATACTGCTTATCTTACTAATGATATCAGTATCCTTGATAATTTTTTTCCTCTAGCAAGGAATGCCTCTTTTTTTTTCTCTTTTTAGATTAAGCAGCAGAGGACACAAGGTTGTTTTCTACCTCAAACAGGTGTGGGGTTGATGGTGAACAGGAAGGCACAGTTACGATGAATGGAGCAAAGCACTGAGTTCTTTACAGCGCTGAATCAAAGCATCAGATCAAGAAGGAAGGAGTGGCTGGCAGCCTGACTGCTTCCTCAAGGCTTGCCATAATAGGCTGGGCTCAGTTCTGTAGGGTGTACTAGTGCTATTGATGAAGATGGGGAAGAGGATGCTCAGCTCTTTGATGTGTCTGTATTGATCAATTTAGACGAGCAGGAAGTAACCACTGTCTATTTACAACAATTACAAAGGGAAAAATATAATTTTGTTTTAGATCTCTGTTCAGGTTTGGTGCTTCATGCATTATCTGTGCAGTGATCCTGTGTGAAGTCCTGATTTTCTTTCAAATTATGGCAAAAGTCATGCAGACTGTGGGTCAGGAATTTACCCTATTCTCTCTTGACTGGATATAATTTGTTTTTACAGATGTTAATCAACTCTAGATATATTAATCATACTTTGAATACTTTTTTCAAGACTTAAGTTAGTTGGACACATCCTTGTTAACAATTTACCCAGACTAAATACACTGTACTTTCATTTGAGCAATGTTCACAATTTTACCGATGGAAAAATCATATAAAGTATAATTTTGAGAAAAGAATTTAAAAAAATAGTTAATTCAGTTGAATAATGGATTATTCTAGGACTACTGCAGCACCTCTTATAGCTCTAGGTTATGGTATGTACATCACTATATACTTGGCAGGCTGGAGTAATGCATTTCCTTGTGTTCACATTCTTTTGAAGAAACTTCAATTATTTTAGAATTGTCACCTGCCTCAATTTCTGGGTAAAGTCTGTGAGAGAAGAAAAAGCATGGTATAAGCTCAGCCTCAACCATTCACAATTTCTTAGGGTACTTGCCTCTTGACCTGTTCGACCCATTTCAAGATCCCTAGTGTAAGAGAGATGTAAGGCCTCTAGTACTTTGAATGTTAATGTTATGAAGCGATTTCATGCACTGTGATGATGTCAGTGCCTGATCTCCTCTGTGACAAACTACAATTTTTGGATTTATTAAGACTTTTAAGGCATTATTTCCTAACCTTGGAAATGTTTTTTGCAGCTCTTATCTCAGTTCATATTAACATGCCATCATAGAAGTGTTCTAGGGTGGATTCCTTCAGAGCTGTATACAGAGGCTTAATCAGCTCCACACTTCCATTCATGATTCCCTTATTGATAACTCCAAACACTCCAGTCTTTTTCATTAGTGGTAACATCTTGAGCTGTTTGCCTGCTAAGACTCTTAGGACTTTTCCAGTGCAAAAGGCAAATCTAATGAAGACGTAAGGATGGAGCATCCATCTTTGGAGATACTCAGAAGCTGTCTGGACGTGGTCCTGGGCAAGTGACTCCAGGTGACCCTGCTTGAGCAGGTGGTTGGACAAGATGGCCTCTAAAGGTCCCTTCCAACCTTAACCACTCTGTGATTCTGTAACTATGTGCACACTGTTCAGCTGTTTAATATTGTATGATACTGAGCTTCTTACAGTAAAACATGATAAAATATACGTTGCACTTGGCATCCTCTAATTAAAATATAAAAATGAAGAGAGAGTCAGACACTTCCAAATACCCTGAATTCAGAGACAAAACTCTCTTTGCTGTGACCCTGAAATCAATTCAGTTGGTTAGAGCATGGTGCTAATAAAGCCAAGGTCATGGGTTCAATACCCATACAGGGCATGATCATCCAGTGGCTGGCAGAGCTGCAAATGATCTTTAGAGGACATTTCCTTCCTGTATCACAGAGGACCCACTAGAAATTATTAGTATCAAAGTGTGTTAGTAATAATGGCAAAGTATTATCTGAATCTTAATCAAAAGATCACAGAAAAATCATGTTCTAACCAGTAAACTCTTTAGGACCTTCAGGAGTATATTCTTCCCCTGTATTTTCTGAGTTCTCATTAAATATATAATGGAAGTTCTGTAAGCACAGTACAATAGAAGAAGGACATATCACTAAGCTGCCAGCGATATTGTTTTAACAGCTTTTGAAACATATCAACAGGAAGCAGATGTGGCTCGTACTAAGCAAGTATTGGGGTTAATATTTCAAAACCCTTCACAGTTTCTTCAGTTAAAAGTGAGCATAATAAAATAAGTCTATCATTTTTATCATATTTGCTTTGGTTTTAATGGCACAGATCAAAGACTGACAATACGAAGTAACATGCATTACACACTGACACACCTTCCATTGCACATGAACACAAATGTGGCTTATTAGTTTTAATCATATACTCACTTGAGTTCTGGAAAATTTTCAGATGTTATCAAACTTTGTAGGGCATGATTTCCTGTTAATTTTAAATGAGTTAAACCATGTAGCCCCGTCACAGGAAAAGAGGACAAAAGGTTGGATGACACATCCCTGTATAACAGCAAATAAAAATCAGCTTATGGTTTTCATTTTTTTTCTTCAGCAGTAGAAGTGTCACATTGGAAAAACAGGTTAAACTTTTCTAACTCAATAAAAATGCCTGCATTAAACAGAGGCCCCAGTCAGCAGAACAAACGTACAGCATGGCTCAGGAGTACACAACTATATATCCAGCACAAAGCTAACAGTAATATCTAGCAGTTAGTTGGGTCTCTGTTGCCAAATTTTGGCTCCAAATGTTCGCAGTGCCAGTTTTGAGACTAGCAAATGAATTTAAAATCTGCTCATTAGACTGTCTGAATTCAAAGGAGCCAGTGCCAGAACAGCTTCCCACAGTTTAGAAGATTCAGTGGAACGACAGAGGGCACGACTGCCCCGAAAGCTCCATAAGGAGGAGGTGAGGTGTATGGGGAAGATGTGAGTTTCAGGGTAGGACGGGTCTGGGCTGGAGCAGATGAAGATGACATTTCCAAGCTGAGGTTTGTCTGAGTAGCTGAGGGAAGACAGTGCCGATGAACACAGATATGTAACTTTAAGAAAGTAAAACAGATGAATGAAAAAGTGATAAGTGATCAAGGAGATATGGTAGACTAATGAAAGAGGGGGGAGTTCAGAAGAATTCTGTTCTCTACTTTGCCTTCTCTCTTCCATTGATTCTATGAGCCTTTTCAGTCCTCCTCACAATTATCTACACTGCAATACTTCAGATTTTCAACAGTCAAGGAGGAAGAAGGGGAACCTGATGCAGCTGAAATGCTTTTATGCCCAAGGCTGAACAGCAAAGTCCGGAATATATATTGAAATCTAAGGCATAGACTTAAAATAGGGTGCGTTGATGGACTGGTCTTCTACCTATCTGGTTTAATGCATCTTCTTGAGCACAGCACGGTTAAATACCAAAGGTAAAATTCGGGTCCTACTGCAATGGTAAAAATGACCACCGACTTCAGTCAGACCAAGGTTAGAGACTAGCATTTCAGGAAACTCTGGTACACTGTGTTATTGTCTCTGTGTTAAAGGACTTTTTTCTTTAACCCCTTCTATATGTTGTTGTCCAAAGCTGCAATTTACTGCTCACCTCACAAAGTAGGAATGGCCCCAAAAGGGATGTTACAGACAAAAATGTCTCTATGGACATTTTTCAGTGCACCATCAGAAGGCTTTGCACATCAACAGAAATGAATACCCCTTTCCAAATTTAGGGTTCCCAGCAGCTACTGAATTATCGGTGAGCAAATGCTCAGCAGCATATCTTTGTGACAACCATGCAGCAATATGACTCCAGAGGAATTGTTTTTCACGTCTTCCCCACACAGCCAATATCTCAGGGATTCACCTTAAAAAGGCATTACAATGACAGGTGGGAAGTAGGAAAAAAATGAGTAAGGACTGAGAACTCCTTGTGAACAAGGCCTGCAAATCTAGTTGCTTATGTTTTGACCACTAACTGCTCTGCCTGAACTCACTAAAGAAGAAAAACTGTTTTGTCAAATGAGGAACAATGAAATAAAAGCATATACTGAAAAAAGTTTCTTATTTAATTTTTAATCCAATTCTTTAGTCTTGAAACATAACTAACAGGAAATATTCCCCACTCCTACAACAAACTAAACTGCTAACAAACTGAATGAAGAAATGTAGATGCAGTGATAATCTTCATGGACCCCAAATCATGCTGATTACACAGGGTTGTATGCAGCTTTGCCATAATATCTATGGGAACTGGTGAAATACAAGAAAGCAGACATTTAGATATTTATTCAACAGACCAGATGATCAGAACAGAAAAAGCCTCCATTTCTGCTGGGGCACCAAACTATTAAATTTTTGTATGCTCTTGCAAGAAAAATGCAAAAATTTGAATGCAAAAGATATACAAATACTTACAGTTTGATCAGAGATGGTAAAGAGGAGAAGGCATTGGGGTGAATAATTTTAATTTTGTTCCAAGCTAAATCCCTACAAGAAAAGTGAGTAGAAAATGACATACCCACTGAATGAATATAGAAGTTTTCAAACACTTGATTAGGACGCTTAAATATAAAGAAGATATTAATTACAGGCAAATATTTTCAGTAAGTTTCTGCATATCTCATAGTGCAAAATGTTTTTTTCATTTTTAAGTTGTTAGTCAGTTGTGGTGTTCTGACAGTGTTCTTAAAACATCTTAATGCCTTCCAGTCTAAGGCTTTTCAGTCTGCTTCACAGCCTCCTAAGGCAGCAGAAAGAAGGATGGTTTATTTGGACTAAGTCTTCTAAGGTGTTCTCATGATATGACTAAGAACAGTAAATCCATGGTCAATAGACCTTCCTTCCTAATCTCAATTTTCATTGCCCCTGAAAAATCAAAAAGACTAAAAGCAACTCTTAAAAAATATATGCGTTCAATTATGCAAAAACTTATAACCATGAGTAATTTCTTGACAAAATTAGTCTGCTAGCACATATGTCTGTGCAAAAACTAGAAACCTGCATATGGCTGGACTCTATGTATTAAGACGCTGTTCTCTATAAAAAGACTTCATGCTCCCTAGAGCTGATTATAACGTGAACCTGTCAACAGATACCAACTTTGGCTTGGTATCTCTCTCTACCTCCAACAGAAACATCTAAAATAACAGTTTTTACAGCTATAATAATATAGCTACAATATACAGATGTGTGTATTTTAATTAATTGCTGCAGATGCTTCATCATGTTTGTTCTCCTTTCACAGTTATGATCTAATGGGTGAAAGATCAAAGTGTGGAAAAACTGAAACAAGGACCTTTCAGGGTACCTAGTGAGCAGACAGTATATTCCCCATGTTTTTGAGAATCTGTGTGAATGTCTGTTGGGGGAGTACTCACAGAGACCGAAGAGCAGCCAGCTGCCGAAATGTGTCTGCTTTGATTTCACCGATTTCATTGTGATGCAAGTCACTGAAAAAGCAGTAAGAATCTCCTCAGTTTCAAAGACACTTGTGGGGCACTTTGGGGTGTTTTAGATTGTGTTTACGATCCACATCAATATAGTGTATCTGGGGTGTGTCAAATCAGCCAGCAATAACTAAGTTAATTATGCTCAAACACACCTAGATGCCTCTTTTTAAACTTTTTAGGGTAGTTTGACACTTACATTTTTTGGAGTTTTTTACATGCAGTAAAACAGGGTAAATCTTCCAGCAGGTTATAAGACAGATCCCTGTATTATACAAGAAATGAACAGAATAATATCAAAGTAATGTTAGAAGAAAAATAGCTTTCGTTATCTACTTTCATGCTCAATTTAAAATAACTTGGTTTTATCCACAGAAGAATAAGTCTACAAACTCACTTATCTCTCATCTGTCAGATTTTGATTTCTAATTTGAGAGAGGAGGGGGAAATGCAAGATATATTAACTCCGTATCCTATATTTGCAAATTCCTTGCACTGAAGATTTCCTGCCTGAAGTATAGATTTCTGCTGAGTCTTTTACAGTAACAATATTGGCCATCTACTCATAGGGAATACTGGATTTATATCACAGACTTCATATTTATCAAGTTTAAATTCTGATATTTAAACCATTTAAAATAATCTATTAAATATATATACTCATGTATTTTTTAGAGAAGATCCTGTATTTTTCTGATAAGAATCAGAATCAGCTTTCCATTCTACACTTTTAATTAAGCACTATTGCCTCTGATCGTTAAGACTGCTGTAACTTATAACTGAGGGAAATGGTCAAAAAAAACTGGAACTAACTTTGAAATCAATCACTACATGGGGGAAAAAAACCCTTAAAAAAACTTGAGTCAAAACTCAACAAATTACAGAATAACTGAAACATCTGGACTGATTTATAGTATAATATAACTAATCAAAACCAAGCCCAGGCGATTTAAAGAAACTAGAGGGAAAAAAAAGGGAACCAAATACCAGTCTCCATCACCCAAGAGTCTCATCCTACACAGACAGATAGATAGATATATAGATAGGCAGATGTGTGTGTGTGTTGCTCAGGGAAAGCTGAATGCAAAATTTGCTTGTGAAAAGAATAGAGAAAAAAAGCCTATAATTATGAAAAAATATCTAGTATTATCACATGAAAGAGTAATCACTTTTCACTTCTGTGAAATTCTTCTTGCTTCTCAAATTCCTTAAAACTGGTTCATCTCCACCTATTTACTTCCTTGGTAAAATTGTATTTTCACTGGTATTTTTCCAACAGTGGCATTTAGACTGTTTTATATTTGATTTGTGGAAGTAGTGCAAGTAATGACAGTGTGTGTCTTTAAGGTATTCTACTCTGATTTTAAAATGTACAAAGGCAAACATTAATATGTTTGGGTTTTGGGGTTTTTTTTGTGTTCCAGCAAGTAAGATTATAGCCTCTGTTTTTGTATTTTTTACAGGTACTCTGTGGTCCAAATCAGACATTACAGGAGGGTATTCAATGAGCTAGAGGCTTTTAGGCCAAGGTAAAGGATGCTTTCTATGTCTGGCAGACAATGGCTATTTCGTCATGCACAGATTTGTGACTTAGGTCCTCTCAAAAATATGTTAATAGCTTGAATTTTGTACATACTGACACTCCCTCCTCACACACAGGAAAAAGCTCCAAACCAAACTTGAGACCCTTCTCAGTTTCTGTCAGTGCTCCAGGAAATATTTTACTTGTTTATTCTTAAGGTCTTTTTTCCCACTTTCTTAATATATGAGGCTCTTGGAAGCAGCAGAGGGCACGTGGTTTCGTTTCCCACATTGATGTGCACCCCAACCGTGCTGAGGGCAGTCTTTCGAGGACTGCTGTGATTGTGTTCTCACATACACCTTTACTGCAGGTGTGCAGACACCCAGGAAGCCTCTGCTCTACATTAATCCACACTTGGAAGTATTGGTGGCTAGGTAGGATGCACCAATTGCCTTTCAAAGCAGTGTGTGTTCTTGTAATGTTTGAGTGTATCTGAGACAGGGAGCCTCCCCAAGGGCATGGTCTCCAAGTCACTCGTGGTGTTCAGGGCACCATCACACTTCATGGAACAGGCAAAACTAATGTGCAAACCAAAGGGGGGACTTCGCAGGCTCATTCCCATCTCACAGGAATGAGGTCAGAGCAAGTCTTGAGTACTTGAAATTGATGCTAAATTGGTTCCCCACTCTTTTAAGTATCAGCTCTAATAATATAGGGTGATACTCAAAAACACTAAGTGTGAATTTCCAATGGACAGTCCTACTCTACTATGAATTGTACAAGTTATTAATTGCTGTAGTATTTGTTGCCTTCTGTTTTGACATCATTTATTGTTTTTGAGTAATATAGGACATATTTCAACTTAAGTCTGTGTGCAGACTTTCTTCTGGCAACAGACTTGTTTCTTTTATCATTCTGGAAATGATTATTTGGAGTCCGTTAACTTAAAATTAATTTTTTTCTGGAAATGATCTTGACAGCCATTCTGGTATTCAAATAATGCATTATAATTAGTGCTATTTCAATGTTGGCCAAAGAATTAATACCAAATACATTCCTAGTGATGTAATAGATGGAGGAAAGTGTTCTTGGCTCATTCTCAAAGAAGTGGGCACAATGATTACTTTCATTACTGATTAAGCACACTCCAAGGAAGTTTGCAAGCTAAAATAATATTGGATATTTAGTATATCAAATATAGCCCAACTATGCCAAGGAATAGTCTGTTAAAATTTCAGTCAGCTACTTATGTCTGGTTGAGAAAGAAACTAAAAGAGGAGCATAACAAGGACTCAAAACTACACCCCTCACCCACTGTCATTCACTTCACTGAAATATATGCCTTAGTAAGAAAAAAATCTCAAACTACTGTAGGAGAGACAGAATGAACGAAAATAAGGTAGTTCTGTGGTTTTTTAAACAAAATCAAGAACCATTTTACCCTTTCCTAAGAATATACTAAGTAACTGTCTTTCTCAGCAATGTATGGGAAATCCTGGCTGATAAGCAGATTGTAAACTTGTTGAGTAACACTGGGGCCTGCTCCCTGAGCTGAATTCCTAAGACGTAATGTGATACACAGAAATAGCAGTAACTGCATAATTTTGAAATCATAATAATTTCATTTGTCTATTAATCTCTTGTATTAATGGAACGTTAATAATGTTACTGAAACGTACAGCACTTGGAGATTAGGTAACTGGTCACAAGCTGATCTGGGGAGAGAGGTGATCTGTGCTCCTGTGAGTGTCCTATTGAAAGAATTTATGAAAAAAAAATTACTTTTTAAAGTATGAAAAACAAGAATTTTTTTTAGGATATTCTTTACAACAGGGCAGTATTCAAGATAATAAAACAAAGCAAAAATACTTCTCTAACACTTACAAACTCTCCAGACTTGTAGTCCCTGTCAGATCAGGAAACTCTGTTAACTGTGAAGCACCATTTAAAGCCCTAGAATTTCAAAAAATAATTTCAATAAAATTATGGTAAGGGAAGTGTGGGACAGCTCTCACATTGCAATATAAAAAGACAATTAAAATAAAAAGTAAACACATACAGAGTTCTGAGTTCTGGTAAGTGTTGAAAAGCAGATTTTCCAACAAGTTGGATAGGATTATCATAAAAATGTCTGAAAAAAGATGATAAAAGACATTTAATGAAAAATATTTTAAAATATTTTAAATATGTGTTTATACTATAAGAAAACAAGTAAACTTTTTATGATGAATCACATACTGTGCGCCTCTGGTTGTAGCAGAGGTGAACCTCTGGACTTTTCTCACCCTCTAATCTATATTCATCAATCACATTCCACATTTTTAATATTCAAGTAGTAGATGTTTTCCTGGTTTTAAAGCCAGAAGACAGTCAACAAAATATTCTCTCTTCCTTCCAGGTTTGCAAAGACAGAAATCCACATATGAAGAACTTTGTTATGACCTGAGACGTGAAAAAGTCAGAACTTCACCTATTCAGAAGAGGTTCCCTTGCCTTTTTGTAGTCATGCTGCTTTTGCAGACAGAATATTTCTCAAGACGAGTCGTTATTTTTCTTACATTTATTTCGCAGTTTCTTATTTTTAAGTTTGACCATTAAGTGCATTTTCATGTAAGAGAATGGGAACTCAGACTGGAATACATCAATAGTAATTTTTACTAGCTTCTGCATTGCCAGTAATGCTGAGAGACTTAAAAGAAACAGTTCAAATAAAAGGTCAAAGGCCAGAGACCACTACTTGCTTCCCTTAAACAGGGCATGCAAACTGCCATTCTTTCCATGAATTTGGAAAGCTATGACCTTGCTTGCCTGTATGATGATGTGCTACATAGTGTACTCACAAGAAAAGCTATTTGACAATTAGCCACAAATACAATACTTAGTTTCACATTCTCTAATACAAGGAGTCATTGAAAAGATTCTTATAACTTACATAGTAATAAGTGATGGGTTACCCACAAATGCACGCTCAGGTATTGACTTGATATTATTGCTATGAAATCCCCTACAAAAGGAAAAATGGTTTATATGGTAAGAAAAAAAAAAAGGGAAGACTCAGTCTGTATTCATTGTTTTTCATTTGTAATAAGAAATGTGTCTGTATGTAAAGTTATATTCTTGTTTTCTGGAATAAGACAGAACTGAAAAAAGCACAAGGGAATGGAAGGGAAGGGGAGAGAAGGGGAAGGAAGGGAGTAAAGGGGAGGGAAGGGGAAGGGATGGGGAAGGAAAATTGCTGAAATTCTGCACTCTTCTAAATGAACAAAGCGATTCAGATGAAGTAAACTGCAAAATGGCCTTTTAAAATTCAGAATATATGCAAATAGGTGTATAGATATAATGTAAATATACATACATATATGAACTAAGAACATTAATAGTTAGATACTAATAATTAATAACTAACAATATATTTCCCCCTGTGCTTGTTGAACTGCAACTATTTCTTTTGCTGGATGGCACAAGTTTATCAAGCAAATGATTTTATACATAATATTGTAATGTTGATCCTCCCAAAGACACCTCTTTGTTGAAACATTTTAAATGTGTACACAACCAAAATGTACTTGCGCCTGCTGGATAGAAAGCCAAATCTTTGTCTCATCATTAATTGCTGGATTTCATTCATATGAGTAATTTCCCATTGTGAAAAACAAAAGGAACAATTAAGATTTCAAAAGAACAATGATGATTTGTGTGGGAAACTCCCATTAGTTCAGTCGGGTATGAAGAAGGCTTCCTAGCTTAAATTTATGCATTACTAAGTGTCCAATTGTTCACTGATGCAAGCACACGGCCATTACTTGCACAGGTTCCACATTACTGGGTTACTTGTTTAGGCATTGTGCTACTGGTGATGAGTCACAGAGCAAGGCTTTACATCCCTACTTCCTCTGCATGCAATAAAAACATGCAGATGCAGACTCAAAGCAATATGAGCATCTCATTTAATCTAGAACCAGTAAACAGACTGGTTTTGAATGCAATTCCTTGCATGGCAGAAAAACCAAGGAAATTACATGACTAATTCCCACAGAAATATCTGCTACTAGCTGTAGACAAAAGGTGAGAGTTTGTGTTTTCAGCCCAGGCACAAATTCTGAGAGAGACATGAGGTCCCACCCAGAAGCACCCTTACTAAGGTGGCCCTGCAATGAGCTGAACTTCTGTGGGCCTGGGCTCCCACGTGGGTGAGAACAGCAGGGCATGGACAACTGTGTGCGAGACATCCTTACAAGATCAGCTTCCAGGTCCCAAAGCACTGAACCACGTGGTTTCATGATCTGTGCTGGATTTGGGATGTCAGGTTACAATTTCAAACTCCAAATATTTCTTGCACATAGGAGCTTAGGTGCAATCATAAGTTTGATACTTAGAGGTGCAGTCCTGTGGTGGCCATCAGGCACTTTGTTGGACTGGACAAGGCGCATTTCCTGCAAACCTGAGTTATCCATTTTTGGCTACTGACTCCAGGGATCATCAAAAAGGCAATCCTTTGAGGTCACTGGATTTCATATCAATTATTTTATGACATAAACAGCAGCTGAGAACAGTTGGGCTGAGAAACTCAGCCCTGCTGCCTTTTCCAGAGCTGCATTCTGCCAACACTGAAGGTGCTGAGCAGGAATCAAAAGTGTCTGGGGATCCCTGCTTTGGAAAAAATCTCAGTTAGCTACTTAGAAGTATTTTTTAGATCAGTTTGTGATGTAGCAGCGGTCCAGTCATGTCCAACTAGTATGTGATTACCTAGTTTTGTCAAAAATCTGTGCTGATGGTACCAGTAACATGGTAAATAATTCAAATGGGAATAATTCTGAACATATGCATTGATGTGTACATTGTGTGTATGATGTGTACATTGTGTGTATAATGTGTGAATATAATTTAATTATTTTTATTTTTTAATAATACAACTGTTTCTTAAAATAGATTTGAATAATTTATTTTCATTGTTGATTTCTTTTAAATGCAAACTATGGCTGTGCATCCAAAAGCAGCATTACAAAGGACTATATATATTGAAAAGAAATTGCTTTAATTTAATGGAGAAGAGGGAGGAAGTTGGTCAAGACATTTAAACCTGATGGACTAATAAGGATACCATGCCTTCTTCTTCTTAGGCTAGAAGACTGATATACTGCGTTGTTCGCAAAATCTAACTGTTTGGGAGTGTGTTTGGGACTAAAAGTGAATAAATTGTGTTTATTATTTACAGTATTCCAAGGATGAAGTTCCTGGAGAAAACCCACTGCACAATACAGTTTAAAAGTAAAAGTTGTCAGCACTTGAGTGTCCTAAACTGAATGTTGAAAATGATTTTTTATGTATGTTGGCATATTTATTAGTTTTTCCTAGAGTATCAGCTTGTAAGGACTACTGATAAAATCACCAGCACTAAAAAAATTAATCACACACGAGACAAAACATCCTCCTTCCTAATATGAGCTCTGTACTTACAGTTCTTTTAGGTTTGTTAGTGTCCTGATAGCAGTGGGGAAGTCATCCAGACTGTTGTAATTTAAATCTCTGTGTAAAAAAAGATTTTATTATTTAGGTTATGCACTGCATAACAGATAACACAGCATTGTTGGCACTTGTAATAAACTATCATCTTCCATGCACTGAAAGATACATACAGCAAAGAGCAAGGAAATCCTCAAAAGTGTATGGATGTTTTCCAACAAACTCTATTTAGGGCACATTATCATTCCTATTTTTTATCAGCACACATAAAAATGTAACTATTTTTAGTTACATCTAAGGTATTCTGCAATAAAGAGAAGGTAAGTGAATTTGGATACTACTACAGGATTGCTGTTTTGTAAATTGCCTATCCTTTTCACTGCTTTAAAGTATTACCAAGGGAAAAAAATCTTTCAAACAGAATATTCAACAACTTTGTTTGGTGAGCTACATTTTACATGGCTAATACATCTCACTATAAATATTTCTAACTGTATTGTTAATTCTAAGACTTGACAACAGTCATACAAATAATATTTCTAACCACAAAAATTGTAAAAATGATAGTTTAGCTAGGGTAGTGACCTCTGCTTTAAGAACTGCTCATGCTGCAGCAGTAATTAGATTTTATTCTGGTAGGCTGAATGGATTATAATCCTGCTTCTGCTCTCAGCATGACGTGTATCCTTTAGCATTTAGGAGATACCTGAAACTAAAATTGAGATATGCCAGTTTACTGTGATGCTCTCTGGCAATGCTTTGTGATGAAAGTAGTCTGAAAAACTGGACCAAAAGCCTTTTTAAACAGGCAAAACACAAGCCACAGTTTACAACAGATTGAAATTGAAATAGCATCAGGCTGAAGTAATGCAGGCAGGAAACTGCTGTCTGAATTCAACAAGGCTTTCCTTCCTGCTTGTAAATCTCTCCTGCTTATTGACAAAAAGAGATTACAGGCATGTACGGTTTGGTTTTGCCCTCCAGTTATATGTGATTTCCAGACCTATGCAGTCAATGCAAAAAAATGATCTTAAAGCCAGTGTCTGTCATTTACACCAAGATCTTTAGATTATCTTAAAACTATCTGGAAACCAGTCTACAAAGTATGCAATTACTGTGCTTGAGGCAAGTGCTACACTGTCCTATTGCAGTGAAGTGGCTGCACCTACACTTATTCCTAGCTTCCTGACTGTCCTCTGTGTTTTCATCTCTCTCATGTCAGATGGTTGGGACTGGGTTTGCAATTACTTACTCCATTGTTCTGTTTTCCCCCATTTTTGACCAAGTGCCATGTGAATATCACTTAAAAAACCAAAACAGTTATATTTTCCTTCTTCCTTTCCCATCTCCCTTTCCAGTGCTACACTAAGGGATTTCCTCTCAACTCGTAGCCAGCTAAAAGTCTAAATTGTAAAACTGCAATTCAGTGGCAAGGGATCAATGTAATCAAAACTGGTGATAAAAAAACCAACAAACCCAAAACATCTTGCTTCCTGATCTTAATGAAATATGAAAGTGGGCAGAATGCAGTTCTGTGGATAAGAAAGCAAACAGAAACTTTCAGACTAACATTATTCATGTCTGAAACTATTTCTTCCTTATAACAGGCTTTTTAGCCTCTGTCTTGGTTTGGTAGAACATCTAAAATCTCTGAAAATGATGCAGCTGACTGTGGCAGGTGCTGTAGGAAGGATATGCAAGGGTTTACTGTCCCTGTAGCATTTTTTGAGTCTGTGGGTGACTCTAGAAGACACCTTTATTTGACTAACTGTAGTGGCATACTTTGCACTAACCACCAGCACTGCATTCCTGTTTGGCACTTTTTGTAGAACAATTTTTTGCTAGACAACTCAAGAAAATTTGAATTGGTCTGAACAGAACTACAGTGAAAACTTAAGGAAATTTCAATCTTTACTAGTGCTATTATTTATAAGAGTTCTTTAAAGACAAAAACTTGGCTACAACTGACACATTTGTCTTCCTCTGCTTGTAAAGCCCTTGTAATTTGACTACCTGGAACTTTTGCTTTTTCCAGGTATAAAAAAACCCCCACCATCTAATTTTTTAATGCTCCTCTATGGCAAGACAGTTTCTTAATGTTAAAGCTTTTCATTGTTACAGTTTCCCAATCTAGATATTAGCTTTACTGATTAAACAAGACAAATAAATAGTACTAAACTACGCAAACATAACTTCATGAACAGTCACTTCATTTTCAATGCTCAATACAGTTTTCAACTGTCTTTCAAACAATTATCAATTGACAATGCTTATTAAAAAAGGCAAACTAATTTTATAGTCAAAAGTAGGATTTGCTACACAGAGTCATTGTGAACTATCACTTAGATCCTGTAATGATTAGGCAAGCCAAACCCCACATTTGGCTTTTAGGCTATTTTTATTCTTTCAGAATATTAATGAAAACACTCTAAAAAAAAAAAAAGGAAACAAATAAGAGGTCAACTCACAATGTCTCTAGGCTGTGGAGCCCATCAAAGCATTTCTTTCCCAGGGAATAGATTCTATTGTTATGGAGATGTCTGCAGGGGAACATTAAGCACGCAGTCAGGAAAGCACACAGTGGACTTAAGCAAAACATTTTGATGGTTAAATCAAAAGAAACTTATTTTGGCATGCATTGATTATATGCAAGTCATGCTTTTGCAAGTGCATGTATAGGAGGCACCTCCACCACCCTCTACCCTTTCTCCCGATACCTCTCCACCCACACAGGCTTCCATTTGGTTTCATAGAGGGGATCTGTTTTAAAACCACCTAGATTGTTTAAAAATATTATATCCTTTGTTTCAGATTGGGGTCTGCATATCAAATAGACATATTCTCAGTGATGGTTAATTGGTTAATTAACATGTTGTCTTAAAAACTGTGTGTGGGGTGTGAGGTGTATATTTGGAAGATGTATATTCAGATGGTGTTAGAGGGGATGGCACAAACCAGCAGCAGATGAGGAGATGGATAGCATGGCAGACAGGTAAGGGGCTTACAGAATGCAAGCAGATACAGAGCTATAAGACAAAAAGTTGCAGCTTTGCTGAGATGAGCAAATTAACTTATCTTAAAAGTGCTGCAACTTGCCTTCCTTTGAAATTATGAAAATCAATAGCTACTTCCTGAAATACTTAGCAATTGAAAATAATTTTTATATATTTTAACCAATGCCCCCCCACAAAGACTATGAGTTCTGCCTATTTCTAAGTCTTTAAAACAACAGGGAGAAAACCCGCTCTGAGTCAAGCTCATTAATATGAGTAGATACAACTTGTAGGCACTTCAGGTCATTTAATTTAAAAAGGATGCCTTTTCCCCAACAGATTTTTCCTGTTATTTCATCCTCAAAACTTCATCCCTATAGGGATGAAACCAGAGGAGGGAAACTAGAGGAGTACTTCTTTAAAAGAAAATACAGGCTGTGAATGAGGGCTGCCAGGCCCCTTCAATACTTCACTCTGCTCTGAAAATATCGTTAAAGATCAGAGGCTCTCCGAATTTTCAGCAAAACCTACAGAAATTGAGTCTACCTGTCTGTTAAAGGCAGGCATTCTGATGGCAAAATAAAATGTTCTGTAGGTTTTTCCTTTCCTAGGAAGAAACCTAGTCAACTCTATTTTTAATGACTACACTGACCTTTAGTGCTTTAGTTAACATGAAGACTGCATCTCCAAATTCCAATTATGCCTGGATCTTTAATTATAAAGGTTTTGATATGCTCCAATTGACCATGCATTTTTGCACTGAGTTCAAAATTTGCCAGACTGTAAAGAGTAGTAAACAAATGAAAGCAGAACCACACACAAAGATTTTGATGAGCCAAAAATATCAAATGTTGCATGTTAATGAGGAATGATTAAATTATTAATCACTATATAGCCCAGAAGATTAGAATTAAGGAAGGCAGATCTTAAATAAGGAAACCTAACTGAGCAGAAGCAATCAGGGAATGAAATGATTTTCTCCTGAATTTCTTAACTGTCCTCCTATCACTACATTTCTGGTAGGGATCTAGAGAACAACGTTCAAGACAGCCTCTTGTCTTTACCATCACTGATATAAGCCTAGAAGCCTAATCAAATGACAAGTCCATCCACTCTTTAACTTGAATGTGATTGATACTTAATGTAAAGAGAAGGTAAAGGTTTTGAAGCACGAGGCAGATGTTAATCCCCATTTTTGGGGCCCAATGTACTTATATGAGTATATTAAGCACTAGGGAGAGATAGTGACTAAACAAAGAATGCTGATGTATGCCAGGTTCAGTGGTTACACTGGGGCTGGAATATGCTAAAACATGCTAAGTGTCTGACAAACTATTGTTTCAGACAGCTTGTAAAGCTTGAATGCATCACTCTCTCTTTAATAATGCTAACGTTTTCCAAAGCATCCCGAAATACCTTCTCCACCTCAGTTTCTCCAGCCAGTTTAGTTTTTTTTCTACTTGGTACATTCCCAGAAGATAAAAAGCTGAAATCATGCTCTCTAGTATACCTTCCAGATTTTGGTGCCAGCCATGCATGTTTCAATTAGTTGAACTGGTATGCAAACATAACCAAATACATATACTTTCTATGAAGGGAAATGCATATTTTTTTCGACTAGATAGCATTCTTTCCAAGTCCCTCAGAAAGATTTCAGTTCATTTCCTGTTTCTAATCTTCCCTCAGTCAGTCTTATGGAGCACACAATTCCTCCTTTCCTGTTTGTTTTGCTGACCAGATAGGGTGATTTTTAATTCCCTTACATACTTTTTAATTGAGATGGAAACTTTTGAGCTAGTTCAAAACAAATGGTTTAGGAAATATTACTCAAATTGTAGGAAGATGCAAAAAAATTATTTTCTCCAAGATAATTTGTAAAAATTTTGGGTCGTATTACATATGCATCACAGAAAACTGCAGTTATATTTCAAAACCACCATTTCTGAACAAATGACATTGATCTTTTGACCTCAGGAATATCACTAAGCCTAGAGCAATTGCAGAAAGGAAACTGCAGATTTGTAGCCCCAAGATATTAATTTAATATTAAGACTATAAGACAAACCAGACTCATGCCTATACATATTTACCTATAATTTGCCAACTGGACATGGACTAGGGGAATATTTAATTATTAAGGGTTGTCTCAAGTAACATCTAAATTAAAAATTGCATCCTCAAGTAATTCATCACAAAGAGGCCAAAGACCTGTAAGAAAAGATTGTGTCTAAAATGCAATCAATGAAACTTACAGAACTACCAAACTAGAGAGGTTTCCAAAGGCATAGTCTGGTATGTAATGAATTTTATTCAGTGCCAATGTCATTGCCTGAAGTGCTGGTAAACTCCTAAAAGCTTGGACAGGAATTTCTGTCAAAGAATTATCGTCTAGCCACAGGTGTCTAAGGGAGACCAAGCCATTGAAGCAGTTGGGGGGCACATAGTTGATGTGGTTGGCATCCAGACGCCTAGGAAAAAAAGAAATAGAGAAAAGTGACTTCAAGAAAAGAACAGTGGCTTTGCACAATGGCTATCAGAAGTTATCACCAAGCACACAACCCCAAAGGATGGACATGGGTTCCCACATCCAGTTTTCATTTCCTGGAAATCCTTTCCATCTTGCTTGCAGCCTCACCCTTGAGACTCAAATCATGTTTACAAGTCTCCTTGTCAGCTCACTCTGAGCAGACAGCTCTCCTTTGGAACCATCAATTCACTGAGAGTACACACTGATCATTTTTGAGCGGAGTCTCTCTAAACACTGGGTATGAATTTGTTTCCTTTCCCAGTTATTTGAAAGTATGGAACAAAAAAGTGCAAGAAACTCATCCCCAGATTCTCTTTCAGAACATATAAATCATTGAGCTGCAAGATAATTTGGAATTCCGTATGCAAGACATATTGTTTATTCCAATGATTCTAATGAGAACTGAACTTCACATTTTTTAGTAGTGCAACATGATGATTTTTACATAGAGATTAGTGTTGCCAATGTGATGTTTTTATGTTGAAAAAGAAGTTACTAAATGCACTTCAGCTGCTGCAGAGCCAACAGAGGGAGCTCAATTGCAAGTCATACCTCTGAAGAATCTGCAGGTTTGCTCTCACACTTCTGTAAATAAGGATTAAATCTACTGAACCTTTTGTAGACGTGGTGATACAAATATAGCACCATTTATTCACTAGCTTTTGCTGTGTTTTGCTTTTTCACTGTGATTCTTTCAAGGAAAGATTTAAAAGTGTGATGCAGATTTCCGAAACTTTGTGAAACATCCAGTTGGGGATTTGTACTCCGATACATGTTTTCTACTTTTAATGCATTGCAGTGACTTGTACCTTTTTCAGAACATGAAAGCCATGCTCTGAAACTTTTTTTTGAAATGTGTAGGAAGGAGTAATTAAGTGAATGGTGAAGGAGAAATAAATTTAAATAGATGTTTGAAAATGCTACAGAGCAAACAGCCACACTCACGGTACAAAGCAGTAATTCTGTACAACCTAAATTCGGTCTGTTTGAGAGAAATGCAACACTCTTTGTGGTGGGCATAATAATCTCTTTATTTAAAGCTTCTTCCTCATTTAAAGTCATGTAAAACGTCAGGACCATTCTATCTCCTGCTCCATGCTGCTCCTACCTACTGCATGAGAACAAATAATGACTGCTAAGTCTCCGTTCCAGGCTAGCAAATAACTGAGACAAGGTCAGTTGGAACAAATTTATAAGGTTCAGTGTCAAAGCCCTTGTACAATTAAATTTTCAGTATAATAACTGACATGGCAGGCAGCAGAGAGAGAGCTTCCAAAATAACTCAAGGGTCTGTCAACAAATGGGTAAGGCTGGAAATGTTTAGAAATACTCACATTGTTCCTCCCCTGTTCCCCAGGCAAGAACCACGCTATGCCTGTGTTTTCAAATAAGGTATAATTTGAATGAGTAGATGAGGTTTCTTTGTGTTCAGTCAGAAGTACATTTCTTCCCTGGGTGATGCTGGTATGTAAACTAAGAAGTTACAGTTGCCTTAGTTTGACAGTTACACTGATTAAAGAATGGAGGCTTTATTCAAACTAAACGTGTTGCAGTGTTGCAGTTAACATCTTGTTCAATAGGAAGCCTGCATGTACGGCTCCGATGTCCCTGTTGACTCCACAGGAGTTACTCACAGGATGCCTGGCTGTGTGGCCAAGCCAACAGTCAGTTGTTTGAATGGGACCCTGTGGCTGAAATGGCAGTATTTCTGCTGTTGTCAGTGAGACCAGGATTTTTATCTTACCAATATTTTGTAGCAAATCAAGGAACTGATTCTTTTATAGCTGAAGTTTCCAAATAGAAAGCCACCACCGGCTACGTAAACAAAACACACAGCATAAAAAGAAAAACAAGACTGCTGTACTATAAATGAAATTCTAAATAGTTGAATTATTGTTTAGATAAAGCTTGGAAAAAATAAGAAAGCTGCAATGATTTGTGCTTCAGGTTCTGTAACTGGATTACATATCCTGCAAGTACTCATAAGAGGTACTGCCTCAAGTGCTCTTTTATTATCTAATCTTTTTTAAATTTCCAAGTACCATTTTCCCTCTTGCAGATATTAAAAGGTTTCTGTAGTGGTTATGCTTCCTGTCATACTGTAGGTAATGAACACTGATGTATAAAGCATTGATCAAAATCACCCTTTTCAGCCAATTGTTTTACATGTGTTGATCAAAGTTTTGGCACTTTCAGAACTAAACCCATTAACTCACAAGCATGACCCTATTTATAACTGAAAATATATAGATAACATGTGGTGAGTTTGAAAGCTGCTATTATATTCCAGAGAGGGCTAATTTAGGGAAACAGAAATACTTGATCTCTTCTGATAGGCAGCATGTAAATAAAGCAGCCACTATGAAATTCAACATGAGCTTACTTAAAATGTCTACACCTTTTAAAGCAAATGATTGAGCTATGTGGACTGTAACCCACTAGTGTTTCCTGTGACATAGCGTGAATGCTATGACCATGTTCACAATTTATGAAAAGATATTGTTCATATAGAATTGTAAACAGGATTCATTTACTGGTACAGGCAAAGGTAGATGTTTGAAAAAGATCCGATTTGCATTTTTTAATCAATTCAATATGAATGGATACTAAGTTTTATGCCAGTAGTAGGTTTCTAAGGGAATATATATTTTTTTCCTTTTTCTGCATCTTCTCTCAAAACCAACTACAACATGGGTGTATCTAGCAATCAAGAAATTCCTTAATGTCTTTTTAGAGTGTCTTGCTCATTCATTCAGGTTTAAATCAAATACTAAATATGGCATCAGGAAGGAGGTTTCTCCCAGGTCATCTCTCCCTCTGAAATAAACAGCTATTACATGGATTGTCTCTTCTTGCAATGGATGAGGGCCAGAATACACCGAAAGGTCTGGAGAAGAGGGAAACCCCAAAGACAGATAAAGAAGTCAAGAATAAAACGCTTCTTCTGACATTGAAGTAGGGGAGGTAAAACTAAATGAAAAGGGACTGTACGTAACAGGGAGGGGAGGCAGAGAAGTGAGAGCAAACAAGGACTGATTTTAGGCAGAGTGGATTAAAGAAGGTGTGCACTTGATGATCTCAGAGGTCTTTTCCAACCCGGTTGATTCTATGATTCCTCTTCTCCTGACCTGGTTCTACTATGCAGGGAGCCTCAGTCAAGTCTCGCCACAAAGTACAGAGCAATGAAAGGGTTGTGGACAGGCCCTGCCTGAGGAGGGTATCCCAGGCAGGAGAGGGCCACTTGCAGCCCCACCATCTTTGTTGGTGTGTGGGGACACAGACCCTTTCAAGGGTTTGTTCACAGGAGTTTGACTAAAGTCTCATTTAAGTAATGGCAAGTAACATCTAAACTGGCTCTGAAAAGTGGATGTAATGAAAATATAACCGGCTATTGTAAGCCATGTTTTTCAAACATGGTCTTTTATGCAGGATATCCCCTTCAGTCCACAGGGGAAAATGCTAGGACTATTGTAAAAAGCTTATTACAACACACCAGACCAGCAGTTCTCATAGCTCACTTCTACAGAACTGATACTCATACTGTGTGGCAACAGCAAAACCAAAAAAGACAAGTAATAAGTCACAGTCTACATGCACTTGTTTCTATCCCACTGCTCAGTTTTACATGAGGAGGTCTCTGCAGCTCTGGGAGTTTCAATCCTTAGTGTTTCTCCTAATCCAAATGTGCTGTCAGGTGTTTGGTAAACTTGTATTCAAGACGACGGTACAGGATGCCAGCGCACTGCATACAGCAAAACAGCCAACTGCAATGCTATGTTTGTACAAAGACTGGCTCTGATACTGGGTACCTTCAATCCCCACATGGGGGAAAAAGTGGGTGCTAACAGGGGTTGTCGGGTTATCCTAGGAATCTGACTGCAGACTCAGATCAGGACCCCACAGCTAGATGGGCATGTTTGGTGAGGCTGGAAACACTCACAGGTCCTCAGCCAACTGGCTTGGAGTGACCTCTCCAAGCGTCCCAAGGAAGTAGGCTGTATGCACAGCACCTCCTGGGGACATTCCCAGGGGCATGCGAACTGCCAGATGGACCCAAGGAACAGTTCAGGCAATTGCTGGTTGGCACAGGTCAAAAGTGTGCCAAGGACCCTGTTACCAGCGCAACAGGATGGATGGTCATGGCCAGAGCCTGGGAGCACTCTGAAGCATTGCTTGCTTTTCTAGGCTGGCTGTGACTACCACAGTATGCCACTACAGGGCACCCAGGAGGACCTCCTTGGGAATCTAGTGTAAGCCCCCTACTGCTAACTACTCCAACAGCAGCTTCTTGTCCTCCTTCCACGTGGTGTATGTCCTGGTGGTTTCAGCCATGCGAGATGATTTCTGGCTAGCATTTCTGAGGTTGAGAAATTTGTCTGTCTCTAAGACATACAATACAAACCCCCTTTTTTGAGATGAGTCATAAGACAGAAAAGTCAGATGCCTAGTATCTTCTACTGGATGCAAGAAAACATCACCCAGTGTCCTGGAATTGCTGATCTAATACAGTCTACTTACAACCCACTTTGAAAGCAACTGGCTGGTTGTGTTAGAGACTGCATCTAAAAAAAAAAAATAGTAGCAAAAGCATTTTAGGGAACCTTGCACCTCTACCTTCCTCCCCTTGATTATCAATCAAGAAAAGTGTCTGTGATTGAGAGGGGCGGTCTGACATTGTACTACTGCTTGATGTTTCAGTCACCCTTCAGTTGCCTAGATGATGAAGATGTGCAATAAAATGAGGAGACCACAACAGTGAGTTTTGAGACATCTTTGTATATGTGTACAGACACCTTCATAGGTACAAACAACCTTGATTTAAAATGTGGGAAATTCCTCCTCTGGGAGTTTGTGGGTACCTATTAAGGTACCAGGTTTCCTAAGAATCATGCCTTCTGTAGCCTTCATTATCATGGGGTGTGACATGGAAAACCACAACTA